ATGATATGTTGTTTTGTACGAAAACAAATCTGTCCGTGGTAAATGATGTGGTAATAGAAAACATACATGCCGCCTAAAGCGTCTAATGATAAGGCATGGTTTACTGCTGAATGTTGTAGAAAAAGATTCTACGAAGGAAAACATGTATATAAAAATCATACATCGGAAAATAACCGAGAGCTTATGAATAAAAGTTCTAGAGACTAAAATAAATCTTACAAAAGAGTTATAATAACTACAGGGTTAATATTGAAAGCCAAATAAGAAATACGTCGGAATCTAATCCTAAACAATTGTGGGATATTTTAAATAAGCTAGATAAATCGACAAACAATAATTGTGATGTCAATATTCCTTTAAATTAATTCTATAAATATTTAATGAAAAACTTAGTAGTTCCGATGATGAAGACGATAAATTTGATATTCCTGATATGAATGAAAATATATTTGCTTTTATTCTTAATAGTGAAGTAACTGAAGATAAAGTTAGACAAGCTGGTGCTAATCTTCGGAATTTAAACGAATATATAAAAAGTACACATTCTGTGTTACTACCTACATATGTAAAACTTTTCTATGTTATATTGAAGTCTAGTTGTATACCAGAAGCATGAACAACTGGAATAGGAAAAACCCATATATAAAAAGAAAAGTGACTTTAAAAGCCCTGATAATTATTGTGCTGTCCCGCATCCGAGTCGGGTGTTAAAAAAAAATATAATATAATATATTAGTAGCTGTATGGATGTGTTATGTGTGTAAAAGTGACTATCACACCATTATATGAATATACTATTTGTGTTATACTGATTCTAATATTATAAAAGAAGTATTACACATGTTCATTGGTAAAGGTTCATATTGTGCATGATGCTACGGTATTGATGTACGAATGTATACATGTGAAAAGGTATGAATGTGCTGTATACTTCTTGTTGTGTTTAAAATTGCCTATATTATCGTTGTGTGTAAAATGTTTATCATATCAGTGTACCGTACATGGCTCGAGTAATATTTTCTATAATGTTACTGTATGATTAACAGTATGGTGTGGGTAATACTATATAATATTTATTATGCTATTGAATGGAATACGTGTAAAAGTGTCTACCATATCGTTGTATAAATGTATTGAATGTTGACCTCTTGATGCACAAGATAGTGTGCCTGAGTAACGAGTAATCTTTGTACAGGAAATCACTTTGTCAAGATAAAAAAATCAATATTTATGTGTCGTGATAGAAATTCTCTAAACACATGACGAGGTTTAGTCCTGTTTGTCCCAAAACCGATAATTTAGGTAAAATTGTTAGAAGAAACAGGATTTGTTTTATAAAAGAAATCACAAAAAATCCTTATAAAATTCAAATAACTGATCAGAAATCCAGGTAAATACAGGTAATACAGATAAATGTGTCAAAACATTACACTCTAAAAGTTAAATTAGATAGTCTTAGATTTGAAATTCTCAATCCCAATTATCTCCTACCTACATTGCAAACACGTCTGGATTTGTCAAGCGTATTATACATGAATATAGTTATTTAAGAAACAGCACTACAGCTATAAAACTAAATTTAATTATATTAAATTTTCAAATTTTCAATCATACTTTCAATAATAAGAAACTGTAGTTGTTGCTCCTCCATCTTCAGCTTCTCCAGGAGTCTGGTGTAGACGACTGCTGACTTCCGTGGTAGAAGAGCGAATAAAGTGGGTGCATCTGGTTGTAGGTCATGGAATGAATCGTGTACAGTTTAGGGCATATGTAGAACGTCCCGTCACAGTATAGTATGTCAGCTGCTGCTAAGGCTCTGAGGTTAATGGTGGCGGCGAAGGGTAGGATTGACCAGAACGTGTTGTCGTGGTTGTGTTGTTCAGGAAGCTGTGAGATGGACCAGTCTGTGTTGTTGTGGTTGTGTTTGTCAGGAAGCTGTTAGATGGACCAGTCTGTTGTCGTGGTTGTGTTGTTCCGGAAGCTGTGGGATGAACCAGTCTGTGTTGTCGTGGTTGTGTTTGTCAAGAAGCTGTGAGATGATCCAGTCTGTGTTGTCGTGGTTGTATTTGTCAGGAAGCTATGAGATGAACCAGTCTGTGTTGTTGTGGTTGTGTTTGTCAAGAAGCTGTGAGATGGACCAGTCTGTGTTGTCGTGGTTGTGTTTGTCAGGAAGCTGTGGGATGAACCAGTCTGTGTTGTCGTTGTTGTGTTGTTCAGGAAACTGTGAGATGAACCTGTCTGTGCTGTCGTGGTTGTGTTTGTCAGGAAGCTATGAGATGAACCAGTCTGTGTTGTTGTGGTTGTTTTTGTCAGGAAGCTGTGAGATGGACCAATCTGTGGTGTCGTGGTTGTGTTTGTCAGGACGCTGTTAGAGGGACCAGTCTGTTGTCGTGGTTGTGTTGCGTAAGAAGCTGTGAGATTGACCAGTCTGTGTTGTCGTTGTTGTGTTGTTCAGGAAGCTGTGAGATGGACCAGTCTGTGTTGTCGTGGTTGTGTTTGTCAGGAAGCTGTGAGATGAACCAGTCTGTGTTGTCGTGGTTGTGATTGACAGGAAGCTGTGATATGAACCAGTCTGTGTTGTCGTGGTTGTGTTTGTCAGGATGCTGTGGGATGAACCAGTCTGTGTTGTCGTGGTTGTGTTTGTCAGGAAGCTATGAGATGGACCAGTCTGTTGTTATGGTTGTGTTTGTCAGGAAGCTGTGAGATGGACCAGTCTGTGTTGTCGTGGTTGTTTTTGTCAGGAAGCTGTGGGATGAACCAGTCTGTGTTGTCGTTGTTGTGTTTGTCAGGAAGCTGTGAGAGGGACCAGTCTGTGTTGTTGTGGTTGTGTTTGTCAGGAAGCTGTGAGATGGACCAGTCTGTGTTGTCGTGGTTGTGTTTGTCAGGAAGCTGTTAGATGAACCAGTCTGTGTTGTCGTGGTTGTGTTTGTCAGGAAGCTGTGAGATGGACCAGTCTGTGTTGTGGTTGTGTTTGTCAAGAAGCTGTGAGATGTACCAGTCTGTGTTGTTGTGGTTGTGTTTGTCAAGAAGCTGTGAGATGGACCAGTCTGTGTTGTCGTGGTTGCGTTGTTCAGGAAACTGTGAGATGGACCAGTCTGTGTTGTCGTGGTTGCGTTGTTCAGGAAACTGTGAGATGGACCAGTCTGTGTTGTCGTGGTTGTGTTTATCAGGAAGCTGTTACAGGGACCAGTCTGTTGTCGTGGTTGTGTTTGTCAGGAAGCTGTTAGATGAACCAGTCTGTGTTGTCGTGGTTGTGTTTGTCAGGAAGCTGTGAGATGGACCAGTCTGTTGTCGTGGTTGTGTTTGTCAGGAAGCTGTTAGATGAACCAGTCTGTGTTGTCGTGGTTGTGTTTGTCAGGAAGCTGTGAGATAGACCAGTCTGTGTTGTCGTGGTTGTGTTTGTCAAGAAGCTGTGAGAAGGACCAGTCTGTGTTGTCGTGGTTGCGTTGTTCAGGAAGCTGTGAGATGGACCAGTCTGTGTTGTCGTGGTTGTGTTTGTCAGGAAGCTGTTAGATGAACCAGTCTGTGTTGTCGTGGTTGTGTTTGTCAGGAAGCTGTGAGATGGACCAGTCTGTGTTGTGGTTGTGTTTGTCAAGAAGCTGTGAGATGAACCAGTCTGTGTCGTGGTTGTGTTTGTCAGGAAGCTATGAGATGAACCAGTCTGTGTTGTTATGGTTGTGTTTGTCAGGAAGCTGTGAGATGAACCAGTCTGTGTTGTTATGGTTGTGTTTGTCAGGAAGCTGTGAGATGGACCAGTCTGTGTTGTCGTGGTTGTGTTTATCAGGAAGCTATGAGATGAACCAGTCTGTGTTGTTATTGTTGTGTTTGTCAGGAAGCTGTGAGATGGACCAGTCTGTGTTGTCGTGGTTGTGTTTGTCAGGAAGCTGTTAGATGAACCAGTCTGTGTTGTCGTGGTTGTGTTTGTCAGGAAGCTGTGAGATGGACCAGTCTGTGTTGTGGTTGTGTTTGTCAAGAAGCTGTGAGATGAACCAGTCTGTGTCGTGGTTGTGTTTGTCAGGAAGCTATGAGATGAACCAGTCTGTGTTGTTATGGTTGTGTTTGTCAGGAAGCTGTGAGATGAACCAGTCTGTGTTGTTATGGTTGTGTTTGTCAGGAAGCTGTGAGATGGACCAGTCTGTGTTGTCGTGGTTGTGTTTGTCAGGAAGCTGTGAGATGGACCAGTCTGTGTTGTGGTTGTGTTTGTCAAGTCGCTGTGAGATGGACCAGTCTGTGTTGTCGTGGTTGTGTTTGTCAAGAAGCTGTGAGATGGACCAGTCTGTGTTGTCGTGGTTGTGTTTGTCAGGAAGCTGTGAGATGGACCAGTCTGTGTTGTCGTGGTTGTGTTTATCAGGAAGCTATGAGATGAACCAGTCTGTGTTGTTATGGTTGTGTTTGTCAGGAAGCTGTGAGATGGACCAGTCTGTGTTGTGGTTGTGTTTGTCAAGAAGCTGTGAGATGGACCAGTCTGTGTTGTTGTGGTTGTGTTTGTCAAGAAACTGTGAGATGGACCAGTCTGTGTCGTGGTTGTGTTTGTCAGGAAGCTATGAGATGAACCAGTCTGTGTTGTTATGGTTGTGTTTGTCAGGAAGCTGTTAGATGAACCAGTCTGTGTTGTCGTGGTTGTGTTTGTCAGGAAACTGTGAGATGGACCAGTCTGTGTTGTTGTGGTTGTGTTTGTCAAGAAGCTGTGAGAAGGACCAGTCTGTGTTGTCGTGGTTGCGTTGTTCAGGAAGCTGTGAGATGGACCAGTCTGTGTTGTCGTGGTTGTGTTTGTCAGGAAGCTGTTAGAGGGACCAGTCTGTGTTGTCGTGGTTGTGTGCTCAAGAAGCTGTGAGATGAACCAGTCTGTGTTGACGTGTTTGGGATTCTCAAGAAGCTGTGAGATGGACCAGTTTTGTTGTTGTGGCTGTTTTGCTAAAGAAGCTGTGAAACGGACCAGTCACAGTAAACACTTTTTTCATTATAACGACTAATCTTCCTTTTTTATTATATTTTTGCAGACAAGCCTTTACATCCTAATATGTTTAGGCATTGGGAGTATGATTACGCTTCATTTCTTCTTTCAATACCGAAACCCCTATGAGCTAAGATTAACTCCGACTCCGCAGCTCGCTGAAAGCTTGGAAAAGCAGGAGACAATCGATATTTCGTCAATTAAAGCGAATGTCACGAATATCTCAAATATTCGACGGCAAATATTTGACTTGGCTGTGTATTTAAAAAAGGCAAGGTTACACGCGAGGGGTTCCAAAACACAACGAGCACTGAAGTATGCAAGTGAAAATATGGATGCAATACTGAGAGGATTCGGTACTTCGTTCGAAGCTGTCACACGACGAAAATTATACAAATCAAGCAGTATGTGTCCTGAGTATTATGTTGATAAAGTATATGGTCATCTGATCAAAAATTGTTCCTACTCTAAACGTTTGGAGGAGATTGTCACGATCATTCGTCTAAACTATGATTCGCCTGCAGATAAGGAGTTCACCAGGGATGGGTATGGATCAAAAATTCCGGTCATAATTGGTGACTATAGTGGCAATGTAAAAGAGAAAAGTAATATTGTGGTAAAGAAAATGGCATCTACTATTACAGAGGGTGAGGCATTAAATATGTTGATGGAAAACGTGAAAACGACATACACTTTAGTTTTAAGAAACGTAACGGAACTGGATTGGAATGCAAGAATTGAGCGACTTGTGCGAGAAATTGAGATATTGAATGTCAATGCAATAGGCGGATCTATCAGAAACTCAGATAACGTTTGGAGTTTAGGATGCCATCAGAGGGTGTACCGAAACTACACTGTTGTGTTCGAGGAAGGGTACGATGAATCCATGCATGACTGTGCATTTTGTGATCACATGGACGGACCGTTCCTCATCAAAACAAAAACACTAAAAAAGATAAAATTCGATAGTAAATTATCTCCTATGGGATTATACGAAGACTTTTTTATGAGACTCAATACTGAGTCAGCTGTTTGTGCCGATTCGTTATTTGATATGGATTTTCCGCGCCGAAGTAAAGTAACAAAAGAATGGGAAAGTTTTGGAAGAAAGAGAAATCTGTATAGATTGAAGTTTTCTTTTGGACTGACTATAAACTTTGGATGTGACTACGGGTATCCTTGTCAAAGAAAGAAAGGATTTGTTAGATCACCATGCTGTATACAAGAGCTTGCTGATTTAAGTTATGGTTTTATGGATATGTGTGAAAAAGAAGGAGGATCGTGTCAATTGAACGCGGGAACAATATTAGGAGCAGTGAAAATGTATGATGTAATCCCTTGGGAAGCTGACGCGGATCTCAACTTTCGTTGTCAAGATTTCAATAAATTAAAAGAAGGTGGATTAAAACTCGGGTCTAAAGGTATAAGAGTTGGAGTAGAAAGAATAAGCGTTTGCTCGCCATCTGCACATCCAGCACAGCTAGGCGCAAGGAGCAAACACTGGCACGCAGACATCTGGTCACGTGACTGGATCGAACCTTATGAAGTAAGAGCGGAACATCGCAATTTGACCAGGATTCCCTTCAATGGACGTCTTCTGAATGGGATGAGAAATCCCGGTCTATTTGCACGTAATATGTATCCGGAAATTTTCTTACATCAACAGCACGCAAGTGAAGGAGGGGTTAAGAAAGTTTATAAATTTTCAAAGTGTCCGATGAAAGACAATCATGATTGCATCGATAATTACTACGAAGATGGTAATATCCAGTTTCATGACCCGGTGGCGTAGCGTTCTTTCAGATATGTAAATATATACGTTGTTATTTATGAGGGGCGTTCTTACATGGTTTTTTGATGCTAATGTGATCTAAATTTTCATCTCGGTATATGAAATTAAAAAAACAGATCGGATAATTAATTTCAATACCACTAAATTTGATAAATATTAAAATGACGTATCTTTGTACAATATGTAGAAAAAACATATGTGTATTTTTGTGCGTATTATCGTTTCATGATTAAAATGGTGCAATGTTTTGGTTTTGTTTGTGGAAATGCACGGTGATTGATAATAGAATTAGACGACATTTTATATATGTGTAAAGTCGAGGAAAGATAGCTCAAGTGTAACATGAAAAGTAAAACATGCCAAAAGATTCAAATAATAGGAACGAACTTTACAAACACGTTCATTTATATCAAAATTTGTAACCCATGATGCCGAAAACTTGTTCGTGGATTTTAAACTATATGGAAGGTATTGTAAATGGAACGAAATAACTCTAAAATAAGGAACGGAGAAAGTCCTAGGACATGTTATTCAGTTCTTGTACAAAGCTACCATCGGTAGCCCCTGACAGCATTTCCAAGTGTCTTACAATCAATGTGGCGTCAAATTGACAAATGTTGACATATCGACAGATCCATGTTTTTTAAAATCATCATCTAGGTACGACTTAAGGGCCTAACGTTAAGTCATTACAAAATAGTTATTGCACGGTCACCGCAAACCTTATCAACTTGCCCCTGTCAAGTTAAGATCAAGGTCACAAACACTCTTATTTACATTCAAAGAAAACATACAACGATTGAGAGATGTTCTTTAAACGTTTATAGCAACATTATAAATTACTCAATCTTTAAAACTCTTTTTCGAGAGCATATGGGAATGCTAGGGGACGTTTGGTTGACTACTTTTAAGACGAATGCGATATGATGAGAGTGAAACTATCGCCAAAATTATTTAAATATCATGAAAAAAAAAAAATAAACCACCCGAAATTCAGTTTGTATAGCGTTTGTAGATAACAAGTGCCTGATTGGAAAATATAAGACTGTCACGTGTTCAGCCACATGTAGGGCCCTGCGACCTCTAACAGTCTATGATTTTACAGCCAGACTTCCTGTGTGTAATATAGGGGCAATAAGATTAAGCTAGACTTTTTAGCAATAAACAATGTTGTGGAAAGAAATTGTGTCACCGTGGACAGGGGCTTTATCTCATTGCTTTACTGGCGTGATGATTCATACATTTTTTGAAACCGTGTTTCTCATTTATCAGTTATGTTGAAAACATCAAAGAAATGGGCTTAGACATACTAAACCGTGTATAGGATAAGCTCGACATTGTAATCCTTTTTAATTTGTTTGTCGGTTTTGTGGAACATTGTTGTTTCATCTCGTTACATAAGATTTTTAGAAGTTTTCCTATTAAAATAAAAGTATATCCAAAAACGTTTGTTCACTCATTAACATACATTAATAACACACAGTCTACTCACCTAAAAGCAATGACTGAGGGGGCGTGATAGGGCCACCTTAAAGTAATGGTTGAGGGGCGTGGTAGAGCTCCCTAAAGCAATGACTGAGGGGGCGTGGTAGGGCCATCTTAAAGTAATGGTTGAGGGGCGTGGTAGAGCTCCCTAAAGCAATGACTGAGGGGGCGTGGTAGGGCCACCTTAAAGTAATGGTTGAGGGGCGGGATAGAGCTCCCTAAAGCAATGACTGAGGAGGCGTGGTAGGGCCACCTTAAAGTAATGGTTGAGGGGCGTGGTAGAGCTCCCTAAAGCAATGACTGAGGGGGCCTGGTAGGGCCATCTTAAAGTAATGGTTGAGGGGCGTGGTAGAGCTCCCTAAAGCAATGACTGAGGGGGCCTGGTAGGGCCACCTTAAAGTAATGGTAGCGGGGCATGGTAGAGCTCCCTAAAGCAATGACTGAGGGGGCGTGGTAGGGCCACCTTAAAGTAATGGTTGAGGGGCGTGGTAGAGCTCCCTAAAGCAATGATTGAGGGGGCGTGGTAGGGCCACCTTAAAGTAATGGTTGAGGGGCGTGGTAGAGCTCCCTAAAGCAATGATTGAGGGGGCGTGGTAGGGCCACCTTAAAGTAATGGTTGAGGGGCGTGGTAGAGCTCCCTAAAGCAATGACTGAGGGGTGATAATAGGGCCATCTAAAAGTAATGGTCGGGGGGGGGAGGGGGGAAGGGGTCCCTAAAAGCAATGACTAAGGGGTGATAGTAGGACCATCTAAAAGTCATGGTTGAGGGGCGTGGTAGAGCTCCCTAACACAATGACTGAGGGGGTTCGATGTATGGCCATATAAAGAGAACGACTGATGAGGCGTGGTAGAGCCCCCCCCCTTCCCTAACACAATGATTGTGGGATCGTGGTAGGGCCACAATGAAAATACTAGTTGAGGGGGCGTGGTAGAGACCCCTTAAAGCTATAACAGGGGGTGTGGTATGACCACATACAGAGAATGACTGATGATGCTTTGCAGTGCCCCTTACAAGTAATGACTGTTGGGTCGCGGTAGGGCCACATGAAATGAATGGCTGAGAGGACGTGAAAGACTCTCCAAACGCATTTGACTGCGGAGGGGCATGGCATGGCCACATAAAGGAAATGAATGATGAGGCGTGGTATAGCCCTTTAGAATTAATGGTTAGGGGGTTTTGGTAGATCCACATAAAAATAATGGTTGATTTGGCGTGGCAGAGCTCCCGCTAAAACTATTGATTAAGGGGGCATGATATGGCCACATAAAGAGAATGACTGTGGAGGCGTGACATTGCCCCTAGAAGTAAAGACTGAGGGTACGTGGTAGGACCACATGAAAATAATGGATGAGCGGGCGTATGCACCTCCCGCGGGGTAGGGCCACGTTAAAAGAATAAAAAATTAAGCGATGTGAAGTAGACTGAATGTTCAGTCTCTAAACTGATATGAAAAACGGAAATTAGTTTGTAAAATAATAATATTGAATCGTAACAATATTATTTTAGAGACTGTACATGTAGTTTGATGATTGAAAAGTGTCAACATTTTATTTAGAGTATAAGACTTACGGAGCCGCGGGAAGAAGGTTGTGAGGAAGACCATGAATTGAAAAACCCCGAATATGACGAGTTAATGACAAAGTGCAGAGACAAAGGATAGGCAGTTCGGCCCTTTCCCTTGGAGGTGGGCTGCAGAGGGTTCCCCACGAAATCTTCGTGGAGGATGTTAAAGACAAGAAATCACGGGAAGAGAAATAAGCGCTTGCTGAGAGGACGTCTCGCTGGCTATGGTCCCGACGAGACCAGTCAATGTGGAAACCAACATAGACGAGTAGTGGTCAGGTCAACACTGATGACCCACCATCCGGATGATGTTAAAGTCTCGCAACCAGGGCAGACCCACCAGCCGGAGGATGCTGTCGACTGGCCACCACTGCTGACCCACCAGCCGGAGGATGCTGTTGACTAGCCACCACAGCTGACCCCCTCCCCCATACCGTGTGTTCCATGTCTAACCTCGCCTTCTTCATACCGTGTGTTCCATGTCTAACCTCGCCTTCTCCGTACCGTGTGTTCCATGTCTAACCTCGCCTTCTCCGTACCGTGTGTTCCATGTCTAACCTCGTCTTCACCATACCGTGTTTTCCATGTCTGACCCAGTCTTCTCCGTATCGTGTGTTCCATGTCTAACCTCGCCTTCTCCGTACCGTGTGTTCCATGTCTGACCCAGTCTTCTCCATACCGTGTGTTCCATGTCTAACCTCGCCTTCTCCGTACCGTGTGTTCCATGTCTAACCTCGCCTTCTCCGTACCGTGTGTTCCATGTCTGACTCAGTCTTCTCCGTACCGTGTGTTCTATGTCTGACCTCGTCTTCTTCGTAACGTGTTTTCCATGTATGACCCATGCTTCTCCATACCGTGCGTCTATGTTTGACCCAGTCCCTTCTGTATTGCGTGATCCAGTCTTTGCCATACCGTGTGTTACATGTCTAATCTCGTCTTCTTCATACCGTGTGTTCTATATCTGACCTCGCCTTCTCCATACCCTGTGTTCCATGTGTGACCCAGTCTTTTCCGTTCTGTGTTTGCCATACCGTGTGTTACATGTCTAATCTCGTCTTCTCAGTATTGTGTATTCTCTTTATCTAGCTAGTAAGTTAGCATATGTGGCCACTGACATTCGTCGACGAGACAATACCAGGACACGGGAGGAGTCATGGAGACCGAAAACCTGTCAATCAGTAGACCCCCCCCCCGCCCCTTTTCTCTCTCGAGATGAATGTTTGTTTGTTATCATGAGTTGTGTCAGTTCATTCCATGCTCATTCCATTACACATCATCCTTCAGCTGCTCCATTTGTTATTAACTATAATCTGTTTCTAGGTGTCATTGGTGCACATCTGTCAGTGTAGAACAGATATTTTGCATGAAGTCATTTCGCTCCATGTCATGTTTCGGGGACGAATTGTCGTATATATAATTGAATAATTTAAAGTTGATTGTGTACTCCATGTGTTACTTTATTGTTCTATTTCATGGTCAGTAACGTTATTATTTTTTTCCCTACTTTTTCAGCCTTGGCCACAAATCAGATGTACCATGTGTAAAGTCATGTCATGTCTCCTCTCATTAGCAATAAAGAGATTTACATTGAAATGAAGATGTTTTATTGCCCTTGGTAGCTATATCTGCACAGAATTTAACGCAGTATATCTTGTTACTGTACGGTTCCTGTCAATGATATGCTGACGCGGCTTAATTCTGTTTGCTCTGTCTGTAATCAATTCACTTGATTTGCATGTACTGTTTACCATGTGCCTGTAATAAGATTTACTTAGTTTTTAACAAAAGTCATTTATTTGAGTTCTTTTATCGGAAATATGTAAATCCAGGTTATGTGAAAAAAAAATTGTCCTGGATTCCAAAAAGTAAACAAAGACGTTGATAGAAATCCTCATGTAGCAAGTGTCAGTGACGTAATTTCTAGTATGCCAGTACCATCATGTAACAATACAATT